GTTCGTTGAACTTAACCATATTTTTGAGCTTTTTATGGACTTTACGCAATCAATTTTGGACTTACAATTTTTTTTTCTAATTATTATTATTCGGCATTAAAAAACGAACAATTTAGATGTACTAAGTAAGAAATTTGAACAAAAATTGAATAAATAATGACATTTTATGTTTTTTTGAGTATTTTTGGTCAATTTTCTTAAAACGCGTTGAGCGACCTGTAAAAATTTTTTTTTTAATCTCAAATTTTCATAAAATGTTTATTTTAATGTATATAATACATTTGTGAGGTATCTCATAAACATTTCGAAGATCGATTTTTTTTGAGCCACCCTAATATATATATATTATAAACTATGTAATACTGAAAATTATGAACTAGTTGTGTATGTATAATTTGAAACATGCAACGAACGGGGACTTAGGCAATAAACGAAATCACTATTTTTTAATATTACATCTAATTTAATATAATACACATTTTCATTATGTATAATATACATTTATTACTTAATATATAGTTTAGTTTGTGCATCCGCCAACAAAACATTTAAGTGACCATTAGTTTGAATATTAAATATCTAAATTACATACTTTATTGTTTCAACTAGGCACCTTCATAAAGTCTGAAACACTTACATTTTTCAACATTGCATTACAATTTGAGGTTTAACTAAATAGTATTGTGCGGATAGGATGAAATTTTCGACTTATTAATTAAACTAATATCTCTGAAATAAAATCATGGCTATGTGCTTGTTGTTAATTCGACGTAACTAAACTTAAATAATTTTTAATACATAAGGATACAACAGATCAAACAAGAAAAAAATAAAAAGTCAGAAATTTTTCTTTAAAATATTGGTAAATCAAATTGGACTTTTTAAAATATACCAAGGGCTGGACTAGAACGAAATTTATCATTTGATGATTTATTTTAACTGATTTTACACTATAGAAAACAATAATAACAATTGAGAAAAATATCAAAAAAGTATTTTAATTTTAAAGTGATAAACAATACAAAATGTTCAATTTGAGTAAAAAAAATTTTAAAATAGGTACATTGGTTTTATTAATGAAAAAAATACCGGTATAGTTATTTTTTACGTCTTTTATCTCTACCATACATCGCTAATTATCACTTAAAATCAGTGTGATATTCAATAGAGCCTTTTCAAAAATAGAGAAATCAAAAAAGAAAAATGTTTAAATCAAGTTTGAGAGTTTTCTAGGATTTTTAGAATCCCCTCAGATTTTTTAGTTATTTATCGTTTTATAATTTTAAAAGATAAATTATTCTGATTTATCTTATTTATATCACATAGAAATTGATAAATAAACATTTAAAATTACTGTATATTTTACTTTAGGTTATAATAAATCAGTTATAGCTCAAAACATTTGTTTAAAACCATAAAATTTTAAACTTGTTTTGAAATTACTAATTCTAAAATGATACACTGTTTATAATAATTTCTAGGTATAAAACGATCATTGAAGGGGATTATAATTCTTTAAACCTCTTTAAGCTTTTTAAAGTTTATTTTAGCATAGTTATATGTATTGACATTGTATAGTTCTAGATTAACATAATTTTTTTTATCTTGGCATTATGTTTTTATTATAAATAAATATGTGTTAAACTATCATTTTGTAGGGTTACAACAAACTAAAAACGATTAGTACATACTGTAACTAATTTGCATAACGCTGTCGATTACAAATTGTTGGAATAAAACTGTTTTGTCTTAAGTTAATTCAAAGCGAAACTTACTATTAATATTTAATGCGATTGAGTGATAATAAAAAATTATACTATATCCAAACCATTTAATATACCAAAATATAACTCAGTAAATACTAATAGTAGCAGAAGTAACAAAACATCTTTTAGCTTCGATGCGAAGCTGAGAAGGTATTGGTTTTACTATGATGTGTTTTTTTTTTTTTTTTTTTTTTTTTTTTTTTTT